AAAGTCAAGTACAGCACCTAGCGAAAAAACTGTGGTCAGTGTTGTAGAAGAGACTGGTCTCCTTACTGGTGCATTAGCTGGTGTTGGAGTTGCAAAATCGCCAGAAGAATTAGGCATGCTTGTCAATCCAAACGAAAAAACGTACTGTTTATGTAACCAAATTGCTTATGATAAAATGATAGCCTGCGATAATCCAGATGTAAGCATATTAATTTAATTTAATAATTATTTATACATTTATTGTTATTTACATAGAAAACCATACAATATTGTGACCGTTAAAAATTAATAACATTTTAATTCTATCGTAAACATTGTTTCATTGTGTAATATTTATTTGAATATGACAAATTATTAATTTTGTAATATTTTTATTTTAGTGTCCTTTTGAATGGTTTCACTTTGAGTGCGTCAAAGTAACTACCGAGCCCAGAGGAAAATGGTTCTGTCCAAAATGTTTAACAAAAAAGAAGTAAAAATAACACCTTCAAAAATAAGATAATTTTTTTTTATACATACTTATAGATATACTATTATAAATGTACAAATAATAGATTGTGTTACTGTTGTAATATTTTTACTGTCATTTAATAACATAAATAATTGAGAATAAAATTAACATTACTATATTAAATGCATATTTTTATTTACATTTTTTATTTTTTATGTAAAACAAAAAATAAAATTAATTAAATTAAAAACTAAACCAGTAGGTATCTATTTATGTTAGACAAATGAATTATGTAAATTAAGACAAGTCTCTCATACATTTTAATGGCACAACTAATCAATAGTACTTGTATATTACTAAAATATTGTAAATTCAATTTTAAGTTATTAAATAAATATAACTTCTAATTTTTTTTATAATAGATACCTCTGTTCACTCCGAAATCTAGGTATAAATCTAAGTCATTCTTTGATTCACATTAACTAAAAAATTCTTAATAACAGAAAAATACTATACATATTGTTTTAAGATTGGGATTTATATGACATATGATTCTTTTTCCTTTATTTAAAAATAATTTAGGCAATTTTAAGAGTTGAATTTTAATCTTAGAACTTATGGAATTTTATCTAATTAAAAACTCAACCTATAACTTTTTAAATACTGTTATTTTTGTAATTAACATTAGATGAAAAATAAAATATACATGCTTGAAGCAACCACAAATGGCTTAAAATAATTATATCGGACACAATTATATATCAAGAAAAAAAATTCATGGAATTTCCTTATAAAAACTTGTAAATTCTTTAAATTATTTGTTATTTAAATATGTATTTATGATATATGATTTATTTATGTTTAAGATATAATGTATAAATACTTGATACGATATATTTATACTTATGACATATTAGTAAAATACTTATTGCATTTTATTTATGTTTAAGATATAATAGGAAAATGTTCAATACTTCGTAATTAATAGATTTTATTTTTATGCATTAAAAAAAAATTTAAATGTTCGGATGGTGTAAGAGCAAAACTTTGTTCTATTTTGTTTCATTTTCATAAAAAGGGAAACAATAAAAAATTTTTTTATAATAAAATCCAATTTTGGAGTACACTTGCATATTATAATTTATAAACTCACATGTTTATTTATCAAAATGAAATAAACATGATATACAATACTCGTACAAATTATTATATTATGTAACCGAGTTAACTTAAATAGGACAAAGGTAATCACAAGTATTTGATTGTTTGTCCAACTCACATTTATTTACATAGTTTTTTATTTCAAATATAAGCTGTTAGAAAAATCTTTATGTTTTAAAATGAACTTGGACAATAAATAAATACAACTTAAATTATTATTGTGTTGAATACAAGCCAAAGACTGTAAAAGGGAAAAAATAATAAATAAAATTTGAATTTATACAATATCCACCAAATTTCATACTTCACTCACTAAACATATATCTACTCAAATTTTCTCTTGTACTAAAATTATACTAGTATAAATGTATGTATTCAAATCTTTTAACCTACAATAAATAAATAAATAAAAGTATATATATATTATATAAGTATTTTGAATAAATAATATTTGTAATCATTAATTGATTATAGAAACAGGTAATCTTATTTTTCTATACATTACTTTTATTATTTTGTCTAACCTAGGTATTAAATTAATTTACTACATAACTTTACATCAGTGTATATCAGAATACTATTTTAATTTTATAAATAAACAAAAAAATTTAAAACACAGTTAATACATAGATAATGCAAAGTATTAATGACAATTAAAATAATTGTATCGACAGAATTTTGTAAAATTATGCTGTATACAAAGTACCTGTATTTAGTATACAGGCAACATTAATATTATTTATTAAAAACCGTCCTGAAACAAATATAAACTTTTCAAAAACATCTAGATAATATTCATTTACTTTAAATAGGTAATAAGAGCTTTGCAGCGGTTAATTTTTTCGCTTAGAAATGATATTTTTATCAGTATTGTTATTCACCATTTTCCTTTTCCTTTTCATAATCCTTTTTATAATTCTTTTTCTTAGTTTTAGGATTTCACGATACTCATCCTGCAGTTCATTCATTTTAGCTATAATCACTGCTTGTCGTTGAGAAGAATTCATTTCTGGAGCTAAAATTTTAATTATAATGTTAATATTGTGAAAGATTATAATCATTGTACTTATGATTTAAATTCTTCAATTATAAGGTGTACATCCTAAGGTAAAATTTTTTAATTGATCCAATCTACTTATGTATTATTTCAGTACATTTTAATTAATAATATTGTTATAAATTATTCAAGCTAATTATCATTAATAAGTTAGTAATTAAAATGTGTATTTTTACTTACTAAATTCAACCAAAGGTTTGCCATTTCTTAAAGGTATCGGTTTAATTTCAGCTGGCTTTTCAACAAGATTTACTATGAAAAAAAAATATTGTATAATTATCATGTTAAAATAATTAAAACTATAGTAATTTTTTAAGAACATTTGTTAAAAATTATAGTGCATATATAATATTACTAGTAACAGTTTAAGTTAAAGATTTTGTTTTATTTACAAGAAAGATTTAAAAAACTAATTACCTGCAGGAATAGGAGCTGAAAAAATAAATGATTTTGATGGCGGCTCACAACTGAAAAAAAATCAAATTTTTCAAATCACCCAAGTTGACTGTAGTCTTGTAATATTTATAAAATGCATTAATAAAATAATATTAATATATTTATTTGTGCTCATATTTTGTTCTTAAATACTATATACTCGTAGTATGCTTTATATAGATATTTTATAGTAGTACTTAAATTTATTTTTCAATGACATCCACAAAATTTATGATTGATAAATAATTGTAAATTTTAATACAATATGAGTTAAACTTAATAAAAATTTTTTTTTTCGAGACAGAATTTTTATTACAATAACATTTTATTGATTAAATATATTCAAACAGGGTATAAGCTATTTCAAAAGTTGAAGAAAAATTTTACACTTAAATTCAAAAATATTTTTATTTTATCATTAAAATAAAATATTTTATTATTAATTGTTTCATTATTATATTTAAATAACGTACCTTTGTTCCATAGGTTGTGACTCCATAATAGACTTTTAAAGTTATATCCAACAATCACTGATGAGTTTTAATCAAATGGTTCCACTTTTTTTTCTTTATAGGTACTGTAAAGTTCAGTAAAATAAATAAAAAATATTAAATATACAGATTTATTAATAGTTAGTGAATATACATAAGTGATGGAATTATGTTATATTACTTAAAGGTTAAATTTTTGTTTCAACATTTAAATACTGAAATATTAATTATTTAATAGACTTGTTACTTTATTTTAAAAACATTATAATAAATTAAGCAAACAATACAAATCTACATTTATATATAAAAAACTAAAGGATTTTTGAAAATAATTTGATGTAATCATTCACGAAAATTCTGATCAACTTAGAATAGAACACTAGAATCATTTAAGAACTTTAATGAAGAATACTTTCGATAGATATTACGATACAATAATACATTTTTGAGAATTATTTTAAAAAGCCCTACCGAACTTCGAAATAATTATAGATAGTGTACACATCACAATAAATGTTGTTTCTCCTTCTATAAAAATAATAAAATTAAAAAGTCGCACTACTGATATTAATGGAATACGAGTCATAATGAGTGGATTATATAATTTATTTTGGTTATAAAATTAAGTGTTTTGAATCCGAATCTGAAAGTGATAATTCATAATTACGTAAATTCTTCAAAACTTAGTCCTCCAGAAGTATGTATAATAGTAATAAAAAATTGGATGGAAAATATTAAATATAAAATTTTGTCTACAATTTTAAATACATACAAAAGATTTTGATTTTTAAAATTATATTTTTATAACTATCAATACAATGTTCTAATTAATAAATAAAATATTAATTTTTTTTTGTATGTTTTGTATAATAGTATTAAATTTTACCTTTAAACGCCAGATTTTGTTCTCTTCAAAAAACTAAAAATAATTTAGCTGTCAGATACGGAGGACATCCGTCTGTGGTTGAGTCGAGTCGACGAATGTTTCTAGATTTAATCAAATACTAAATAGTATGAGAAAGGCAAGGGCGTTAACGAAGACTGAGCGTTCAGCGGCTTACAGTCTGGCCATCGGAGAGGAAACAATAATTACGGCAACAGATAATTATCGCGTCTAAAAACTTTTAAGTTAATTCCTGTCTCATAGACGCAATTGAGGTATAATTTTTGAGGGCTCGATTGATGATGATGAAAGACATCCGTGAAAGGCTTCATCATCAATAAATTTTGACTTTTTCCAAAGTACAATTAAGTAACAGCATTTTTGACAAGCTTGGAGAAGTTAATGATAATTTTTAATTGAGTTAAGCTAAATTGATAGAAAACCTCTTGAAAATATTAAAATTTATAGATAATTTTTTTTTTTAACTCGTCTAAGTGTTCTTTCAACAGTTTTAACTAATTTTCAACAATATATTGTTTAGTGATAATATTGATATTATTTATTTAAGTGATAATGTATGTCGCGCCCTCGTGAGACCGTGGTCAAGGTCAACGTCGCAGATTTGGTCAATATCAGACGGTGTCTATAATATCATATAATTAATATTGAAAAGATATTTCAGAAAAGTTAGAAACTGTATCGATAATATTTTTAGAAAGAAAGATTATAGTATATAGTAAATTCTAGTTTATATGAACTTTTATTTAATTAAGTGGGTGGTAACAGTGTGTTGAATCACCCACCCCTTATTCAATGATGGTTTAATAGTGTTTGTATCCGGACGGCCACTTTATTCGTAGATGCTGAACGTTCGAGAGCAGTGATATAATTAGTGAGTGTAACAACCCAGCTGAGAATCGCCGTCATATCAATGTTTGTGTTTTTTAGTGTGTTATCGTTTCGTCGTCGCGGGGCTGATAACCGCGTTGTTATTGATTTGTTGTCGGGCTTGGAAATTTCAGCATTATGTTATTCACTAAGTTTTCCGCTAATAAATAATTGTCATTTCATGTCTATAGTATTACTATATTTCATAATTTTCTTCCAGTCACAATTGTTCTATTATTTTTATTGTTAGTAAAAGCCCGACAACTTTGTGCTGAACCAGGTTTTTCAGTACCTATCCAGTGTTTTGAAGAACGTGAATTTCATTACTTTAAGTTCTTGCAAGTGACGTTTCGCAAAATGTTATTGTTTCTTGTAACAATTATATTTTCATTGTAGATCAGACAATATCATACTTGTATAAACCTATGTCTATGCTAGTATTGTGATCCAAGAATGCCTTTCATTTGTTTTCTTGTTTGGCTGTGTGCATATTGGTTGTTGGCAGTCTCAAATTAATGAGCTCTTTATAGATTTATCTCAACAACTTCAAAAGGTAAGCTGAAAAACGACTGACAAGTCGTGATATTGTTATTTTTTTTTATCTATATATATTCTCATCTATCAGTTATTAATTATTACCTATATTGCATTACCAATGTGAATTATAATTAAATTTAATTGATTTCTAACTAGCAGATTTATGTATTTATGTATTGTCTTGTTGTTGCTGTTACTAGTTAGTGTTGAATATTGGCAAACATATTTGGTGTGCTAAAGTTTCTAAAAAATAAAACTATAAGCGTATGGCATACAATTTATGTACAGTTATATAATGTTTAGTAAAATAATTATATGCATGGCTAAAGCCAGTATAAAACATTCTTTTAAAAAATATTCTTTTAATTAGTTATAACAATATCCATTACTACAAAATAAACACTAATTCTTTAGTATCAGAGTCAATTATCCAACATAATACTGTTTTCAGCAGCAGTCGTCGTAGGTAATATAAATTAATTTAAAGATTATGACTCTTTTTGTTCCTCTTGGTATATAAAGACCTAACATATATAATTATTTATAGTTAGATTATGTCCATAACATAAAATATGATTGCAGTCTACAACTTGCAATCTCTAGATACTAATAAATATTATTCTTTCTGCATAATGATAAAACTATATTCTATTGAGATAGATTCCTTTAGTACTTTTGATATATAAATAATTTAAAATATTTAGTTTTAATGGTGAAGACACAGATAAATTTCTAATAAACATTCATTTCTAATTTTGAATGCTAATTTTTTTTACAATTTATTAACATGTATTTAGAGTTAGTGTAACAACTGTACAACAGTACACTTGGATTTTTTTAGAACCATAAATCTGTTGTATTCTCTTTTGTTATATCAGTTTAATTTGGTTTTATTCTATGATTCATACATTCTTTTATTAGTTAAGAGTTGTAACTGTTCATTGATAAATTCTATAACATTGTTTATATATGTTAGTTATTACATTTTGTATCTCATATTTCTTCTCTAACATAAACATTTTTAATTAACATCTTTCAAGAAATATGACCATTGACTACCAGTGTATCTCCACTTCCACCAAAAAAAAAAAAAATTAATTAATTAACAATCAAACGAATATGCTATACAATTACTAAAATTGTAGCATATAATCAGTTTACACTTAACACATCCCAAAAACTTAATCTTTTAAATAAAAACTTTCAATAGTTGTGAAATCAACAGTTAAATATTTTAGTAACTAAATTTTAGAATATAATTTAATGTTAAAACATAATATGATATAAACATATTACTACTAGATATTTGTTATAAATTTAGATAAAAAAAACTTAAAATTTTATAATATGATAAAAATTTAAACTATGAAAAACATAATAAAAATGCAAAAATATTTAATTAATATATATATATATTATTTCAAAATCTATGTACACTTATCAAAGGAACATTTTTACTTAATTTTTAGTTAAAATAAATAAATTAGACATTACATTTTGTATCTTTATCATTATATTTTTAAATTTTTTATTTCTTCTTAAATGACTAACCTAACCTTTACTACTCCACTCTACTCATTTAAGCTTTTAAAAAGAATAGGAATAGGTAGAGTTAAAGATTTCAATTTTGGTCTTTACAATAATTTGTACCTTTTGATATAATTTTATGACATTTTATATTTTAATGATTGAAGTATTAGTCATAATATGTAATTGTAGGTATCATGTTTTGTTTTAGAATAGATTTTAACTTAAAAAATAGATAAAGGTTAGGTTTAAATGTTTAAATTAAATATTACTGTTAATGAATGGAATATATATATATTTTTTTTTCTAAAATATTACTCTGATCCTTAAAAACAGAAAATGACCAAGATTAGATGCACATTTTTACTTTAATAAAAAGGATAATGTAAAAAAATAAATAGTTTTTTAAGCGTCCAAACAATGATTAATGTAATATAAAACATCACTTATTGTTAGTAAAACAATGTCTTTTATTTGTACAATATCTCCTTTTTCATTTTTATACAATTATTTTTTAGCTTTATTTATTTTTTAATCAACAATCTTCATCTTCTGACTAGTAACTAAGTGTTTATAACTGTCGATGTTTTTAATAAATGGCTGATTTTTATTTTTACATCGAAGATTAAAAGGTGCTTTGTTATTTTCAGGTTCTGATGTTTGACTATTCCAAAGTATTATTTTTAATGAAACCTTACCTTAGTGAATTACACAACTAAATTGGTACTATACTACAGTCAGTTGTCTTCGATCTAATAAATATTTCTAAATATAATCAATTGTTTGATCCTTTGTAATAAATATTAACATTATTTTTATTAAAATTATTTTTACAATTATTTGCAGATACCTTTTTGTCTTATTGTGGTCTCCGTCATTGCCTGTATTTACTCTAGATCGGTATTGGAGCCTGTCATAATTGCGTAAGTCCGCCAGCACCTGTCATGGTGTGTGAGAGGCCGCCCAGGCTTACTAGTCGAATACACCATCAGCACTAATTATCATCTATCAACATCGTCATCGTTAAGAGTAATTTTTAATTATATGTCCAATTTTATATAAGATCTGTTAATGATTGTACCAGATAGATCCGGTCAAAAAACAACCCTCTCCAATCACTTTAACTTATATTTTTATCAAAAACATGGTTATGTGGTAGCTTTGTTAATAATAAACTTAGTTAAACAAACTATGCTATACTCAGATGTGACAATAATAATTATAAAAGTAAGTGTGATACTGCTCTTATTGTTTTCATTGGTAACGATGAGGTTTATATTTAATACTTTATTATATACCACTGTTAATGATATTAAATTATTTTATATGTTGAACTACTTGTACATAGCGTTTCTTTGTTAAATGTTCCATTTAAACTCTTTCTAATAACTCTGTTACTGTTTATTATGTCAGCTGTTTAGTATGTTATTTTTTTCTATTCTAGTTGAAAATTCTTTATTTATGGTAACCTTTAAACTCTCTAATATTTAATGGTGTAGATTAATGGTGTGATTTACTCGTCTTTAGTCCCTCGAGTTCTTTTTACAACTAAATTGGTACTATACTACAGTCAGTTGTCTTAGAGCTAATAAATATTTTTGAAAATAATCAATTGTTTGATCCTACGTAATAAATATTAACATTATTTTTATTAAAATTATTTTAACTATTATTTACAGATACCTTATTTTCTTTTTTGTGGTGTCCGTAAATTTTATTTTCAATAATTAATATACTATATATTATGCCATACATACTTTACGTGTATCTCTACATATGTTATAAAGATATTATAAGATTATTTTGTTATATTTTTTAATTATTGTTTGATAGCATACACAATATTTTATTTTATTTGGTATTTTTATTTTTGTCTTTAGTACTATTTGCAATTTAATTTATTATACATATCATGCAGTGAATTAAGGCATTTACACCAAAAGACCAACTACATTGAATTACATAAACAGTAACATATTAAATTGCTTATTAACAAGTCGATGCATGTGACCTTATTGTACTGTGTTCAAAATTTCTATGTAATCCATTCTATTATTATTTTGATTGGAATTGTTTTTTAATTATTTACAGATACCCTATTGTCATCGGTTGTTGTATTCTAGATCTGTATTGGAGTCTGTCATGATTGCGTATGTCTACCAGCACCCATCATGGTGTTTGAGAGGATGCCCAGGCTTGCTAGTGAAATACACCATCAATACTAATCATCGACTATCAACACCATCATCGTTTAGAGTATTTTTTAATTATTAGTCCAATTATATGTAAGCTTTTTTAATCAATGCACCAGATTGATTCACTCAATAGAGCATTTCCTTAAACATGGCACTAGAATTTTTTTAAGGGGGGGCAGATTAGGGTAAATATTTTTGTTTACGTGGACTAAGGTTTTTTTAACAAATACTGAAGTTATTTAAATAAAATATATATTTTTTTTTACGTATCTTATGTATGGAGATGTTAGATCACAGACTTTCAACAACTGCATTAAAAATGATGTACAAAAATGACAATTTCTTTATTATATACCTTTGTGAATGAATAATTATGTTTCTTTTTCTTACAATTTATAAATATAAATTAAAGTAATTTTGTTTAGTTATGTACAGAAGAATTTGTTTTACTCAACTTTTAATGCAATGGTTTGGGATACTTTTGTCTGTTTGTTTTCATCCAGTGATTGGTACTCAATAAAGGTAGGTAATAATAAATAAATAAAAGATTTTTTTCTTATTTTAAAAATTTCAAAACATATTTTATTAAAATTGTAGTAGATTTTTTCCATATTAGATAATACTTGTAGGTTAATCCACTGTAAAAAGACTGAAGATGTTATTTGTTCAAACTTCATTAATTAAATTATTATAATCTATACTAAATTTAATTTATTTAGTAGTGACAAATATATTAAATAAACTAAATATTGATATTTTACATAATTTCTGTTTATGCACCAAACACTAAATGATTGAAAATCTTAAAACTTTAAAATATTTAATAAAAATGTATAAAATTGCATCAATACCAGTAAGAATAATATTTTTCTAAATAAAAATTTTTGATTACCTACCTAATATTATTTAACTTGTAAATTTCAAGATTTTAGTTCAATACATTTTTTAATTTGTATTTGCATAATATATTATGTATTAAAGAATCTACTTTGTAGTTTTTGTTGAATTTTGGAGGTTAAAATAGTTCATGGATATATACTAAAACGTAGATATTTGAAGAAATCCTTTCTTTTTACTAATTATTAAGTAACTTTTTACACAATATTAGTTTATTTATTAAACATATTAAAATTTATAAGTAAACTAAAAATATTTTTACCTGTATACAACAAACATTAAATTAAGTTAAAATTATTCTTCGTTTTTGTATATAAAATATTAATATTATTAAATCAGTTTTTATAGCATCAAAAACTTAAAACATATATTTTCGAAAATACGAAAGTATTTACTTAATATTACTAATTTAAAAAAAGTATATTTCATAAATTATTTGATGTAGCTCTTTTAAAAATAATGTTTTATGACTTTATTATATCGTACATAAATTTTAGTTAGCGGGTGGGAGTGCTGGCGAAGGGGCTGAATTGTTTTCTGGAGGGGTAGAGCCCCATATTGCCCCCCTTGACGCCATGCCTGCATTTTCTTCCACTACTTTAACTATTCTCTAGTTCTGTGTGCAGCCCGGGATTTTTTTGTAGGAAATTGTGTTCAGTGAAGAGCAGTTAGGTGATTTCTTAACAGAGCTTTTTACCTCAGTCAAGATTCTTGATACGTTCATTCCTATGAGTATTGAAGATTATATAAAATAAAAAATATTCATAATCAATTAAGATGACGAATTAAATAAAAGTATTCAAGTTTTTGATACGAAAGAAAACTATAATTTTATGTTTCATTAACACGTTATAAAAAAAAATCGGTATTTATACCTACCTATGTACTATCTACATTTTTAACATTTTAAAATTCTTCCCAACTATTGTCGTCACTACTTTTCTAGATCTCAAAATTGATTTCGTCATCATTGCAGAATATTTTAAAAAACGCGTGCCTTTTTGCGTGTGAACGTTACTTGAAATATAATCTACCAATTGCATAGAGTCACCAACCACTAGTATATTAAACGAAGACTGTAGTCTGGCTCACGAAAAGTACATGATCTTGGCCGATGAGTGGATTTCAAATATTTTTTAAACAAGGGATTCTCAGTATTGTTGTTTATTGTCAGGTCAACTGGTCCGGATGACATGGGGTTGTGCTGGACGGCCATAATATGAATTATTCTTCAATTTTTTGACTGGAACCATATTATTTTAATATATTATATTATATTTTATTGTATGGTGATATAATAAAATACGTATTTCAAAAATTTAAAAATGACGCTAATTAGTTTTGTCCCTTATTCAATTCGGCTACTTGGATCCCTGGAGTCATCGCTCACTTTTCATGAGCCCGGCTGTATGTGTAAATCATAGAGTAAAGAATATATAATATTTAATTTTAAATTATTTACATACCATTAAAACTTTTGAATAAGTAATTAAATACAAGAACAATTAATATCATTAACTGTACCCTTAAAATCATAAGTTAACCATGTTTCGAATTCAAAATATCAAATTGTGTCATTTAATATTTGAATGTTTGAATGAATTATTTTGGCGGTGCATTCTTTAAAATCATCTAATTACAAGATATCTTTGCAAAAATTTAAAGCTTGTACAATTGAATACATTTTTATATAATAATATTGAACATATTTCTTAAAGCAGTTAGAGTCGAAATATTCAGAGGATATGGAGGTAGAAGGCTTAACTTTGGTGGTATTAGTGCCCAATCCACAAATAATTGTATCCACTAATTCTTACGTGGTTCATCTGTTGGTAGTCTATACATTACAAAAATTAAATTGTTAATATTTTTAACGTGTATCTAAAAAAATATTTACAAGTGTTACTTACCAATGAAAACTAATGCCTTTTTTAGCCCAACATGAACGTTTACACAAAATACAACTTGGCATTGTCTTAACAACGAGGTAAAACAAATTTAATGTTAAAATAAACTAAACAATTTAAGGTACTAATATATCTTTTACTCGAAAGGTCAGAAAATCGGGTTCAAACTTCGTAACACGGTACCCGGAGATAAGCCCCGTCAGACTGGCTTACTAATAGCAGCCCGGCGCTCCGAGGAATGACAGCCGGATGACGCGCGATCGCTGGTGTTCATATATCAACGCTTGTCCGTGATACTGCCGCCGCACTTGAGGAAGACTCGAAGTGGTTGCGGTAGTAACGCCTTAACTAGAAGAGGTTTAGTTCGAGCGAGAAACCGCCGTGCCCTGATCGCGGAAGTGGCTCATTATCGTGCATAAGCAAAACTGGCACGCCGGGCGGGAAACTTGGGGTTGTCTGACTCTCAGAGCCCGGACTAGGAAACACCGCAATTAAATATAGGGGTGCGGTGAAGTGTCGTCAGCCTTAAAACTGGACGGACTTATCAAGCCCCGTTGGCTGTAACACAAGGAAAGATATTCTTTATTCTATGATGAAAGATAAGACAGATTCGAGACTCGAGCCAATTTATAACAATAACATTTAAAAATGTTTAAAGTATGATAACGGTTTCTTATTAGTGATAAGGTTGAGTAACGGATACAATAGTTTAATGTTGTTCATTTGGTCACTCCAAGCGTCTACTCCTAAAATGCTTTACTTACGTATACATATGGCCACCCAGTAGTATAAACCACAATAACCACTTGTGGCATGGAGAAGGGATGAACCTAATATCAAGAGAAAACAGACCGGTTTTTACTCATTTTCATGCATGAACATGTATGTTTGAGTTCAGTGCTGTAGTGTAGTACACATTCCATCGCTACCGCCGCCGCTGCCACCATTACAGTGAAATTTCATCATCTAAACGTCTTTAAAAAGATTGAAAAATGGATGGAACTTTCGTAAGTATTTACAAAATTGTATTGCACATTTAAGTAAAAAAATAAATATTCGAAAGTCTACATGTCGTAATGGCGTATAGTAATATCAGTCACGTCTACTACATACCTGTGCGGCTGTGCCGACATGTATCACGTGTTTTCTCATCGCTATTTTAAAATTACTATACCACAACTTTGACTTCTATTTGGTTTGTCCGCGTATTATTTTATTCACTCGTTAGGAATATAAATATAAATTTAAAAGATATTCATAGTTATGAAAATTGCAAATTTACGTAGTTTTCACAAGTTTTGTTAACATTTTTAATTCAAATATTCATACAAATAAATTCGAGTATCTAAAACTATTATATATTTTTTTAACTACAACAAAAACAAACAGTTTACTGTTTTTGCGTAAAAATTACTGTTTTCTTAAATTTTTATCATTTTTACCGATTATTATAAATACTAACCATTTTTATTTTAGACCCTCAATATACCAACTAAATCTAATTTACTACCTGTAACCCCTCCCAAAATTTTAAATAAATACATTAAAAAATACTTATCATAAATATTAAAATTTAAAAAACAATAATATTAGTATGTTTTAAATTAATTTAAGAAATACTATCTAAATGATTTTCCGAGTTTTTTATTAATTAAAATCTTCCACAACAACTTGTGAAAGAGTAAAAATTGCTAATAATTGTATAATTTAATTGAAAACCTTTTATAGTTTTAATTTCAAATCTGTATTTTATTTAGATTTTATACCCCAATCAATATTAATAAATGTATTTCATATTATAGAACGATTCTGAAAATAGTATTATAATTCAAGTTCGTTCGATGTGGGATGGTAATATCGACATATTCAAGTTGTCTAAAAAACATCCACTCAGAAAAACAATGGAATCATATAGTGAAAGAATTGTAAGTATTAACTGCTTAAAAGTAGCTTATTGCAATTGTAACTATTTTAGTTCTATACAGTATATTATCAGTAAAATGTTAATGAAATAAAAAGTAGTAAATATAAGTTTGGTATATTAACATCAATTACATTTTTGATACTTCCGTATGTATTACTTGAAATTAGTATTGAAAATCAATATTTTGCAATCAAATTGTTAAGATAGAATAATAATAATATGATTTTTCTATTTTGATCTAATTCATAGCTTTCATTGCTAATTTCTCTACCATAATAATATACTGTTCTATATGTAAAAATTTGACAAAGTATAATTTTGATTTTCATAAATAAATGTATAACATAATTATTAATCAAAATAATAATTAAATGTAATATTATGTATATTAAATTAGTGTATAATAGTTTAGTATAACTTGTATAATTTAGATATAATGCAGACCACTATATTCTATAATTTTTTTACCACACCTGCATTTATTGTCCATAATTACTTATTTATAAGTGTGTAAATGTAATATTGTAAAGACTAACAAGTACATGGTTAATTTACATTTAGCAATTCATGTTTAGTTTTTGTTGTTTCACAACATTATATTTCACAGAGTGATGAGCTGTTTTAAAATTAATATATCAAAATTAACTTAAATAATATATCAATACTTAATTAACTAACATTATAACTAAATACGTTTTGAGTGAACTGCTAAGAGCAAACCTGAAAAGTCACACATTTTTGAGATAAAGAAATGCAGTGGTGTTGCGTTATTTTATATGGTATACTAAACAATGTAATAAACATCTGTATAATATATAAGTTAATTAGATTTTTAAAAAAATGTATGCTATTTTATTTTTTAATATTGATATAGATATTTTTACTTTTCTATATAGTAGCTATTAACTAAACTTAGATGGTGCTGGTTTAATGTTTATAATTTAAATATTTTTAATTTATTCAAAATTGTCATTTTTCAGGGTGTGGATTTTCCTTTTCTACGATTCTTTTTTAAAGGTCGTCCCATTGCAGCTGAGAATACTCCAGAATATCTTAATATTGAACATAGTGATATTATTAATTGTTATCAATTCCGATATTGAACAACAATGAATATAATTTCTTGAATCTTATGTATAAATAAAAAAAATTGCATTTACATCTTTTTAGTTTTTTAATCAAAAAAAACCGTATGTCTATTTTTTACAAAGCTGTCAAGTAAAAATTAAACTAATTCATAGTTATAAGTTATACAAATTTATAATCAATGAGAAAGACTTAACTACAATAAATATAACCACTAATACACTTTTGTTGATCAAATCAATTATATAAAAATAATTTCATTCACTAGATACAGATAGTAAAGTTACCAATAAGTATAAAAATAAAGTAGGCTAGTTATCAATTTTGTATTTGATTGTAAATATAAAATTTACATTACAAGAGTAGCCATTACATATTTTCTAATGTAATCAAGGCTTAATATTCTATTAATAAAAAAATAAAAGTTAAGTTGTAATATACTCACATTTTAGTTAATTAATATTAAAACTACAGATGTTGTATATATATCCGTGATTAAAACTATTTAAATTTTACGTAAAATTTGCAAAATCAGATATTTGCTAGATGAAGAAAACAAATGCTAGTTTGGCATTCTTTAAATAGTGCACTAATATTGTAAGTTTAATTCTGTGTAAGAGTTAAATTAATAATGAATCATCACATTTAAAATATAATGGAATGCTTATTTTTAATATTGATATTAATATTTTACTTTATCTGTATGATTGGTATTAACTAAAATGTGGAATTTATCTGTTTTCAAAACATTGATAAGAATATATTAATTATTAAAAAATTGTTCTACCTGCTAAGTTCACAAGGATAAATTTGGTTGAAGACTGGTAATATAGCTAGTAATAGGACACATCTAATTAGATTTGTTATTATTACTTCTGTTTATGCAAAATTAGATTTAATTTTTATGCATAAGTCATTAATAAGATCTACTACTAATAATTCAGTAATAAGAATCTACTTTTACTTAAGTTTTACACTATATAATATATATATTATGTACTTAATTTAAATAATAAATATTTTTGAATAAATACTCATTCAGTAAAAAATAATAAATACTAAGGAAGTGCATACTTATTTATTCAATATTTAATAGATATCCTAATTATATTTTTAAAAAAAATTTAATCTTTTTTTCTGTAAGTTTATTACCTTATATTGTTATATACGTTTATAT